CACCGTACCTGGTTCTGACGGACTGAGACTAAGTCTGATGATAGAAATCAGTCATAGGACTCAGGTGAATACACTTCTGTCTTGATAGCAACGGAGGGGCAAGCGCCCTGGCTCCTGAAAGCAAAATTTAGAACAACGGGAATCGCCAATGAGTAAGAATATTCCTATGATAAAATGCTATAAAAGCCAAAACAGCAACCAAAGAGCTTACGGAAGAGATAAATAGAGTATACTGAAACAAAAGGACAGCTCAAAGTGGTTCTCACAGCTAGAATGGCTGGATAAAAAGACAAGATTGCTCACCCTGTCCTTCTTACAAAAATCCGCCATTTTACCACCAACTCAGGTGCGCGTTAATTAGAAAAATTTCATTGAATAAGGTCCATTGTGGAGATAGAAATCAGGTCTATCTCTTCTACTAACCAGAGAATCCATACAATAACCACAACTACCAGTATATGGAAACCAGGCCTTAGTAGTGTCCAATGCAGCAACTAGCTATAACTAGAAAACAATACCGTTATTCCAAATAATTATGCTATCCTACACAAACATGATCACATGATTATATGCTGTTTCTTAATCCATTTGTGTTCACACAACACCATGATTTATTATACATAAAATTATTATCATAATTGAGGACTAATGCAGCAGATGAAAAGGGGCACAAATAAATGAAAAGGGCATTAATATTGAAAAGGGCAGAAAAGTCCAATCCCTGTTCGATAATCTAAAACAAAAAGCAGCAAAAAATGGAGTAGGAGAAAGAGTTAATTAATGAGGATGATAGCAATCATAGCAAAGAGCAGCACTGTGACTGAGAGAGTAATCAATGACACAGCACCACTGGTAGGATCAACAGAGTCAGGACACTCCAGCATTACAGGAGGTGCTTCATAAGGACAACCAATGGATGGCACATCTTGTATTCTCACTTCATTCACTGACTAAAGATGGTACAATAGCTATACACTACATTATTGACAAAATGTATCTTACAGGCCCCAAGTAATAAGAATAATGAGAGCCAGTCGAGATTGAGTTCTCTAAGACTTCAGTTTCCTCGTGCGTCCAAGTGATATTATTAAATATCTCATCAAATTTAGACTTTGATGGATTACTGACAAATTCAGCAATTTCACTTTGACTGTGAAAACAGAAAGATAGCTAGAGCCTAAGGATGTATGCTTTTATACTTGTAGTGTCTTGATAAATATTCTACAAAACTTGGTGGGTGTGCCGAACTATAACAATCAGTGATTCCCATCCTTGGATAATAGTTCAGAAATGATAGACACATTTCCTCATAAGTGCTCTGACCTCCCTATTATAAACAATATTCAAAACCTAAAGCTTATGTGGTGAGGACAGCTTACAAATGTTATTGTGTCTCGATTTTCACTATTGTATGTGCAGGTCAGCATAATTCCATCACCCTATCAACAATAAATTATAATAAAATATGCAAAAATTCAATTTAAATAGTCTCTTACTGGTCTAATGACAACTTCATTAATATGCACTATCTCCTGAAAGTTGAAATCATAGAAAAGATTGGAGTCAATTGGTTTAAGCTCTTCAATGCCACTGCCTGATCTGCACTGATTGCTAGCTCTCAGATGATGTAGAGTAATGCTTACACCAAGCAAATGAGTGTGAAGGAAATTAGCAAACACATGAATTCCATCTTGAGGAAATAACTAAACACAAGATTATTGTACAGTATTATAATATATTCCAATCATACTGCAGTGCAATCAGTTGGACAGAAACTGTAAATAGTGTAATTCTTTGCTTTAGGAGGGATTATCATGTAGTGGAACACTGCATTTCCAACTGCAAGTACGCCAGAGTCATGCTCCCTTGGTGTATCAATGTAAAAGAATGTCATACCGGAACTATCAATCACCCCTACAATAACTATGAGTAGACACTAATCTTAGTGTAATTAGCTAACCTGATAGTCTGTTTGGATTATCATAGTGCATCTCAATGTATGCGTATCGATACTGGTCACCTCCAATGGGATAAGCAACATTGGAAGGATACACAAAATCCTACAAGTAATGATGAACAATAATTCAGTCCAATAATATCATAAATATTAGAGACTACACAACTAGTTTCTAATATCTATGATAATAATATCATTCATTCTTGTTACATACTTCTCCTCCAATACCCCAAGCAGTAATTGCTGTAGCATTGCTACAATCAAGGCTATCAAGGACATCTCTGCAGACTCCACCATTAGCATTAGCATTAGAGATATTCAAAGAGCTGCAGAGATACACTACCATGTGGTGAACATGAGCTGTAGTGCCTTCAGTCACATTAGGTGAAAACTACAGCCAATTATATATTCATTAATGAATAAATGAACTAACTCTTATTATATATTTCCTAGTGTCTTGTATTTCTTGTGGTAATTCAAATCCTTTGCACCAGTATGTTGTATCAGTACTAGGAATAGTTACCTAAAATGAAGAACATTGTAAGAAGCGATCACTAAATGCATTAAGGACCTGATCAACTCTTATATCAAATGATCTTGTTCCTGGTGGATCAGAAGTTGCCATTACGCAGTCCACCAAGTAAGTTGACACTTGCTGATCCTCTTACATCATGAGGAATA